ACCTCACCCCTCACAGGGCGGGCCACAACACCCCTCACAGGGCGGCCCACCTCACCCCTCACAGGGCGGCCCATCTCACCCCTCACAGGGCGAGCCACCTCACCCCTCACAGGGCGGGCCACAACACCCCTCACAGGGCGGGCCACCTCACCCTTCACAGGGCGGCCCATCTCACCCCTCACAGGGCGAGCCACCTCACCCCTCACAGGGCGGGCCACATCACCCCTCACAGGGCGAGCCACCTCACCCCTCACAGGGCGGGCCACCTCACCCCTCACAGGGCGGGCCACCTCACCCCTCACAGGGCGGGCCACAACACCCCTCACAGGGCGGCCCACCTCACCCCTCACAGGGCGGCCCATCTCACCCCTCACAGGGCGAGCCACCTCACCCCTCACAGGGCGGGCCACCTCACCCCTCACAGGGCGGCCCACCTCACCCCTCACAGGGCGGCCCACCTCACCCCTCACAGGGCGAGCCACCTCACCCCTCACAGGGCGGGCCACCTCACCCCTCATAGGGCGGCCCACCTCACCCCTCACAGGGCGGCCCACCTCACCCCTCACAGGGCGGCCCACCTCACCCCTCACAGGGCGGGCCACCTCACCCCTCACAGGGCGGGCCACCTCACCCCTCACAGGGCGGGCCACAACACCCCTCACAGGGCGGGCCACCTCACCCCTCACAGGGCGGGCCACAACACCCCTCACAGGGCGGCCCACCTCACCCCTCACAGGGCGGCGCACCTCACCCCTCACAGGGCGGGCCACAACACCCCTCACAGGGCGGGCCACCTCACCCCTCACAGGGCGGCCCACCTCACCCCTCACAGGGCGGGCCACCTCACCCCTCACAGGGCGGGCCACCTCACCCCTCACAGGGCGGCGCACCTCACCCCTCACAGGGCGGCCCACAACATACCCCTCTCCTTTTAACACATATGTGAGTGGTTTTTATTTTCCCAGTCTAGACAAACATATGAAGGTCGATGTGGCGGGGACTCGCAGCTTCGGGTGACAGCAGCCAGCCACTTACACATACAGTCCTGTTTTGTACGTAGTAGCTTTGTGATCGGGTTGCTTGACACAATATATATACTCATACATACTAACACCAGTTAGTGTGTGCGTGTATGTAATGTGTATGGCAAGTGTAAAACATTAATTTATACTCCTCGATGAATAGAAACAAAATGTAACCCTTGAATTTTCCAGTTTTTATTAAAAAATAATGTACACACTTCAAGGAATCGTTTGAGTATCTGGTGGAGGTAGGGATAACCTATCCAAGGATGGGACCGGAAGGGAAAAGGCTAAATTACCGAAGAGGAAAATATGATGAGATGAGGAACTTCCTAATGGGAATACCTTGAGAAACAGAGCTTGGAGAGAAGAATGTACAGGATATGATGGACTATGTCACCCAGAAGTGACAGGAAGCTGCAAATAGGTTTATTCCGGCCCAAAAGAAGAAAATGAAAAGCAACAGACGAATCCATGGTTCAATCAGTAATGTAAGGTAGTGAAGTAAATGAGTACAAGAACAAGGAGAAACTACAGAAATAACAGAACACCATAGAGCAGGGAGAGACATCAAAGGTCCAATCCTGGAGTCCATACCTAGTTAAACACAAGACAAAGGTAGAGAGGATTCAGAAGTATGCCACCAGGCTAGTCCCAGAACTGAGAGGTATGAGATATGAGAAAAGGCTTCGGGAGCTATACCTAACGTCCCTGGAAGACAGAGAAGGAGAGACATGATAACTACCTATAAAATTTTCAGGGGAATTTACATGGTGGACAAAGACAAACTATTTAGCATAGTTGGAACAACATCAAGGGGACACAGGTGAAAACTTAGTACCCAAATGAACCGCAGAGACATTAAAAATATTTTTTTTCAGTGTCAGAGTAGTTAACAAATGGAATTCATTAGGCAGTGATGAGGTGGAGACCCCGTAAACAGTTTCAAATGTAGATATGATAGAGTCCAATAGGTTCCAGAATCTGTACACCAGAGGCGGGACCAAAGAGCCAAAGGTCAGCCCCCGCAACCACAACTAGGTAAGTACAAAGTCCCCATCTCACGGCCGAGTGGACAGCATTCGGGATTCGCAATCCACGGACCAGAGTTCGATTCTCGGTCAAAACTAAAACAAATGGGCAGGATTTTTTTTTACCCAGTGCCCCTATTTACTTACAGGCAAACAGATACTTGGGCGTTACCTGTAGCGGTCTGCCTCCTGGGAATGTGTGTGTGTGTGTGTGTGTGTGTGTGTGTGTGTGTGTGTGTGTGTGTGTGTGTGTGTGTGTGTAAGGCAGAGATATATGTAGTATAGATAAAAATAGGTCCGGAGTTAATACTTACAGACAACCGACCGTTAGAAAGGCGGGGTCCAAGAGCTCAATATTGCAGGCACAAATAGTAAATACGCAGTTTCAGCAGTGCAGAGGCAGCCTCTCACTGGCGTGAGTGTATATGAGAGATTGTTTGTGAAAGTGACTGTGATTGAGTGTGATAGTGTGAACGTGACTGTGTGAACGTGACTGTGAGCTTGAGTACTCGTGGCTCACTGAACACATTCGCACGGTTTCTTCTTTCATTAATGTTGAAGAAAGCACGGTTATTGAAACGTGGTGTGTGAGACCCGTAGAGTACATGTATGGACGACCTGAAACACACATCTATGGACAGCACAAAACGTCCACTAGACTGTGCGACACAGTGGTTGTCAGGATCAGGTTGGGTTACCGTTACCTGTGGCAGGTGGCTGCAGGTGACGGGTCTCCCAATCCTGAGCACTCCAGTTGCAAACTCTGTGAGCAGGAACTACGGCATGATCTCCCGCACTACATCACTGAATGCCCAGTTATTAGACCTTTCAGACCAGTTGGCATGAGGTACCTGGAGCTCTGCAATTACTTTATTCACTCTCGTATTCTTGAAGATATCCTCACAGTGTACCCAAAATTTGCCAGTGCCGGCTACCAAACATATGGCCCTGTATGACTAACCATCCTGCGAGATGGGGACTTGTATTACCACTGCTACCTTATTCAATCTTGTGTTGTTGATATCCTCAAAATGCACCCGGAGTCTGCCAGTGCAGACCGCTAATCACATGCCTCTGTATGACTAACCATCCTGTGTGATGGGGATTTTTTTTAGCACCACGTAGCTAGCTTTTTGACACACTGTACTCCCCTTTATATAGTCTAGGGCAGCTGCACAAATACACATGTACGGTACTCAAATACTCTAGACGGCTCTCCTCATCAACTTGTCCTGTAGCTCGTCTCTCTTCGTTCAACAGAAGGTGTTGATGTAGCCCTTCAGGAGTTCTCCAACTTCCATAACTACTTCATCACTGATGTATTCCTGCTCCGACGTCTGGAAAATGCATGCAGTTCGTCAACATTTGCAGTTAAGGGAGCCGGTCGGCCGAGCGGACAGCACGCTGGACTTGTGGCCCTGTGGTCCTGGGTTCGATCCCGGGCGCCGGAGAGAAACTTTCTTTTTTTTCTTTCAGAGTTTCTTTCAGAGTTTCTTTCACCCTATGCCCCTGTTACCTAGCAGTAAAATAGGTACCTGGGTGTTAGTCAGCTGTCACGGGCTGCTTCCTGGGGGTGGAGGCATGGTCGAGGACCGGGCTGCGGGGACACTAAAGCCCCGAAATCATCTCAAGATAACCTCAAGAAGGTGCCCATCCTGTCAATTACTGAAGCTCCTGTATTCACCTAGTTGAGCTTGCGGGGATTGAGCTCTGCTCTTTCGGCCCGCCTCTCAACTGTCAATCAACTATTACTAACTACTTTTTTCCACGCCAAACACACACACACAGGAAGCAGCCCGTGACAGCTGACTAACTCCCAGGTACCTATTTACTGCTAACAGGGGCTTCAGGGTGAAAGAAACTGCCAATTGTTTCTTGCCGGCGCCGGGAATCGAACCCGGGACCACAGGATCACGTGCCCAGCGTGCTGTCCACTCAGCCACCGGCCCCATCTACCTGTGGGCGTGATTACCTCCATTACGTGTCAAAACATCAAAGTTTCTATTGTTGTACTTTTAGATTTAGCTACTCATAACGAAATGTCCATGTAGCACGGACTATGGTGAACCCGTTTATCTTCACATTATCTTGAGATGATTTCGGGGCTTTTTTAGTGTCCCCGCGGCCCGGTCCTCGACCAGGCCTCCACCCCCAGGAAGCAGCCCGTGACAGCTGACTAACTCCCAGGTACCTATTTACTGCTAGGTAACAGGGGCATTCAGGGAGAAAGAAACTTTGCCCATTTGTTTCTGCCTCGTGTGGGAATCGAACCCGCGCCACAGAATTACGAGTCCTGCGCGCTATCCACCAGGCTACGAGGCCCCTCATAATCAAAGTTTCGTTCAGAGTAAGACAACGACCGCCGTTCATCCCCTTCCATGACCTGACCTCCTTGAATGAAGCCGGAACGACCGCGAGAAGGGTCTATATAAGCCGGTGCCTCTTTGATCAAACTGCTTACGGGCTATTCATGCCCATGCCACCTATTGGCTGGAGTATGTGTAGTTCGTTTAATTGATCCTAGTTTTACAACTAGGACCAATTCAACCAACTACCGCCACCACACACGGCCCAACTACTTCCGTGAAAAGGGGTAAATTGTTCACATGAACTCAAAATACCCGAGGGATTACACTTTTCGCGAAATTGGTAAAAGTGTTCCAGGGTAAATACTGGCAATATTTCTAGCGGCGAAGGAAGTGTGGGGTGGGAGAGGGGTAAGAGGGGGGAGAGGGGTAAGAGGGGGGAGAGGGGTAAGAGGGGGGAGAGGGGTAAGAGGGGGGAGAGGGGTAAGAGGGGGGAGAGGGGTAAGAGGGGGGAGAGGGGTAAGAGGGGGGAGAGGGGTAAGAGGGGGAGAGGGGGTATATATATACTAGCAGTACTGGAGTCCAGTACCTCGGCCACCACCGCTGATGGCCACTACCACACTTTATATCTTCATTACGCTATGACCCTTGCAATTCCATCTGCCGTCGTTGGCAACACCGACCTGAGCTGCCATCTTCTGGTGGCTGGTGGAAATAATTCCTCATTGCAGCACCTCTGGGGTTAGTACAAGATATTTTATATTATATTATGGTAAACTATTCGTTAGAAACAGCCCTCGCGGTGATAAGTGTGTCATTTATAAAATACTTCGTAAAGACTGTAATATGTTCTAGGTTGGGCAAACATCTAAAGTCTTCAAGTGTACAATTTCGCAACATAAATACTCTGTAAGACTTGGTCAATTGTCTAATGCTTTGTTTGTTGATTTGTCAGAAAATTCTCACCAAACTGATTGGGAGATGGCTTCTTAAATAACGAATTGTAAAAATACTTTCAATAGGAACATAATTGAATTTGCTTTAATACAGATTACAAAATCATGTACTTTGAACAATAGCAGTGGTTTATATAATTTAGATCCATTTTTGATAAATCACTTAAAGGGCGATTTAAGTAGGATCATTGATACACATTGTCTTACTAATTCATTGTTAATGTTCTCTATCTTATGCTATTATATGCTTATGCTAGAGGAGACGCAGGTGTGTAGCGGAGGTGGATCTGAGCGAGTACACACCCGCTGATGTGTGTTTATGTAGGCAGGTTCTGTGGAGCGCCGGAAGAATTACATATATTTTCACTGTCTCCTATTTTATAATAATACTTTATGGAATATTACTTAGCCACACTTACGGGTAAACAGCTGGAATAAAGTCCTTTTTATTAGTATATGTATAAGGACGCTTTATAACACAGTTACTCCTCGAAGGTCCTGCTTCAAGCGACTTGTTTCAAATGACCTGAGAGAGAGAATCTCCGCTGCCGAGGGGATTGTCTGGAGTCGAGCAAGATAAGGGCACCCCTGGCACTGAGTTGGCCGGGGGGCATGATGGCCCTGTGGTGCCATACCATGGCACCCTTATCTCAGGCCAGGTATAGGTGCGTGTGGGCCCCAGACACGAGCTCAAGCGTTTCCGTGCCACCTTTCACGGCTTATACTATCTTAAGTCGCGTTTTACATATGTGACTTTCAGACCCAGCAGCGGCTCTGGGTTTTTTTTCGTATAAAACGTGTGTGTATGGTTGTAGTGTTATCACTGTAGTTCGGGTTATCTGGTGTTACTCTCAGGTCTCGGCTCCTCCACAATTTCCTTCGGGGGAGAGAGAGAGAGAGAGAGAGAGAGAGAGAGAGAGAGAGAGAGAGAGAGACCCGAAAGAAACAAAGTGTTCAGGTTGATATTAGCGGGTCAAAAGCACCTTTGAAGTTCGCTCGCTCTCCTCACTTTCCAGCTAATATTCGTTCGTTTTCCCCAAAAGCAGCGTCCGTAGTTATCGGTCACCGGGGCGTGAGGGCGGCCTGGGCGGCCTGGCCGGGCGGCAGTCATGCGCTCCGCCCAATATTGGACGGAAATGAGCTTTAAGAGACGAGTAAGGGGAGGGAGAGACAGAAAATGGGAAAGGGAAGAGAAAGGAGGGGAGAATGACAGAAAATGCAGATAAAGTGTTAAGAGATATAGAGAAAATGGGATGGAGGGACAGAGAGATTACCGCAGATCTCTTACATCACTCAAGTTAATGCTAAGTAGTAGTTAATGCTACACCAAGTTAATGCTAAGTATCAGTCATGTAGGGAACAGGATCAATTCGAAGCCTACTGCAAGGGTGCTAACGCCTTCGTATGGACAGTTGGCCTGATTTCAGGTGTGTCTACAAGTTGAGCAAACGTACCCAGTGCGAGTCAGTCTTGGAATGAATGACCTCTGATGGAGTGAAGTTCTTGAGAAAGGCACAGTGAGCCTGAGACTGTTGATGGCTGACCGCCTTGTGTTGTGACTGCCAACTTCTCATTGTCCACGAAGTTGGGACAGGTGCGGAACCTCAAGAACATTTGAGTGTACATAACATTAAATCCGCCGACATCTCTGTGATGTTGAAGGCTCTTCTGACCAGTTCACCCAGAAAGGATCAAGACTTGAGATGAATCTTATTCACACACAGAGATCACACTAACGTGATGCATCAAATGAACAAATCCACAAGGGATTTTAACCCTGTCGTAGCTCAGTCGATTAAGGCAGTGTCTGGGATGCTCCCGGACGCAGGTTCGAATCCTTGTCACGGCCCTTGTAGATTTGTTCATGAATCTTATTGCATGGTTCTCCTCCTTGTCCAAAATTCTGATAAATGATGGGAGAGGAATTGGAGGGGAGGAAGGGGGTGTACAAGCCATCCAGGAGGGTGATGCGTCCTCAAGATGCGAACGAACTTGTGCCTCATATAATGTTTCCCAACCACTGCTGTCAAGAAACCATGAGATTTGCCTTAAGGCAGTTAGATTCTTGGCTGCCTTGCTTGCTAGGGTTCAGCACGTCACTTTGTATGGTCATTGAAGAGTCAAATTTCATTCCCAAGATATCAAGTTCTTCACTGAACACAAGTTTTTTTTTACTCATTGATATCCTTCTCCCTTTTACAGTATCATGCCATCGAGTTATCACCGTCTCCTGTGCCTCTTCTGCCGCAAATGTGACTTGCCATCGCCTCCCCCCAAAGTAGATATTGCTGCAATTTGGCGATTAATGAGCCTCGTAGCAGTTGGTATTTCCTCTTTTCCACATGTAGAGGTTAAAGTGCAGTCATCAACGTAGGCCTGAGCTTCGTAGAGGAGTAAATGGCTGAAGTGAACAATCCACAACAAAGAGCCAAGCGCACTCCCCGACGGTACAGTGGCACCCATTGAATGGTATTCAGATTTTGCCCCATTGACGACTACTCTTGAAGAGCCCTTTCTTGATGGAAGTCCCTTATTAGTTGTAACTTGAAGCCTGAAGTACAACAGTGCTTGAAGCTCTGCTGGTAGTACACACTGCCAAACACGATCAAACGCTCCTATCCTCTGTCTCTTATTTGCTTTCCTGTCCCTCTCTTATTCCCTATCCAATTTTCCTATATTTGCCTCTTTAATCCCTATTCTCTTTTCTATCCGTGACTATTCCATATTATCTTATTCCCCATCTTCTTACCAATGGGTGTGGTGTTCCCTGTCTCTCCCCACCTCACCTGTAGGTAATATATGGCCTTCCTTGCCCTAAAGCTTTTCCTTAATTTACTCGTAAACCCTACCCTACCCTCCCCCCCCCCCTCACCTGGCCCTCCTCCCCCTCTGACACCACTTTCCTCTATTGGTTATCCCTCCTTTATTTTGACGTGCTTCACTCCTTCCCATCTCTCTCCATCTTCACTGTCACTTTGCCCTCTCTCTCTCTCTCTCTCTCTCTCTCTCTCTCTCTCTCTCTCTCTCTCTCTCTCTCTCTCTCTCTCTCTCTCTCTCTCTCTCTCTCTCTCTCTCTCTCTCTCTCTCTCCGTTCATTCGCATGTGTATCTGCTTCTCTCTTGTCTTCCTATTCTCCTATCTGCACCTCACCTCCGTGTTTATTCACCTACCCCTCTTCCCTCACTCCTCCCTCACATCTCCTCATAAAACACAGACAGCCGATATTGGAAAACGCTGAGGTTCATGGGGTTAAACCTAAAAATACCCCTCCCCCCCTTCCCCCCATCCCCCCTTCCCACCCCATCCCCCCTTCCCACCCCATCCCCTCTTCCCTGGCAGTAAGCTTACCACCCCTCCCTCCCCCTCCCTTCACTAATCCATACCATATTTCCCCTTTCTGGTAGTATGGGGGAGCTTAGCCAATCAGCTGGAAGAGTGACAGAGGACCAGACAACCACATGTAACAGGAACAGCATGTAACAGGAGCAGAGGATAGTCAACAAGTAACAGAGGCAGAGGATAGTCAACAAGTAACAGGAGCAGAGGATAGTCAACAAGTAACAGAGGCAGAGGATAGTCAACAAGTAACAGGAGCAGAGGATAGTCAACAAGTAACAGGAGCAGAGGATAGTCAACAAGTAACAGGAGCAGAGGATAGTCAACAAGTAACAGAGGCAGAGGATAGTCAACAAGTAACAGGAGCAGAGGATAGTCAACATTTAACAGGAGCAGAGGATAGTCAACAAGTAACAGGAGCAGAGGATAGTCAACATTTAACAGGAGCAGAGGATAGTCAACAAGTAACAGGAGCAGAGGATAGTCAACAAGTAACAGGAGCAGAGGATAGTCAGCATATAACGGGAGCAGAGGATAGTCAACAAGTAACAGGAGCAGAGGATAGTCAACAAGTAACAGGAGCAGAGGATAGTCAACAAGTAACAGGAGCAGAGGATAGTCAACAAGTAACAGGAGCAGAGGATAGTTAACAAGTAACAGGAGCAGAGGATAGTCAACATTTAACTGGAGCAGAGGATAGTCAACAAGTAACAGGAGCAGAGGATAGTCAACAAGTAACAGGGGCAGAGGATAGTCAACAAGTAACAGGAGCAGAGGATAGTCAACAAGTAACAGAGGCAGAGGATAGTCAACAAGTAACAGGAGCAGAGGATAGTCAACAAGTAACAGGGGCAGAGGATAGTCAACAAGTAACAGGAGCAGAGGATAGTCAACATTTAACTGGAGCAGAGGATAGTCAACAAGTAACAGGGGCAGAGGATAGTCAACAAGTAACAGGAGCAGAGGATAGTCAACAAGTAACAGAGGCAGAGGATAGTCAACAAGTAACAGGAGCAGAGGATAGTCAACAAGTAACAGGGGCAGAGGATAGTCAACAAGTAACAGGAGCAGAGGATAGTCAACATTTAACTGGAGCAGAGGATAGTCAACAAGTAACAGAGGCAGAGGATAGTCAACAAGTAACAGGAGCAGAGGATAGTCAACAAGTAACAGGGGCAGAGGATAGTCAACAAGTAACAGGGGCAGAGGATAGTCAACAAGTAACAGGAGCAGAGGATAGTCAACATTTAACTGGAGCAGAGGATAGTCAACAAGTAACAGGGGCAGAGGATAGTCAACAAGTAACAGGAGCAGAGGATAGTCAACAAGTAACAGGGGCAGAGGATAGTCAACAAGTAACAGGAGCAGAGGATAGTCAACAAGTAACAGAGGCAGAGGATAGTCAACAAGTAACAGGGGCAGAGGATAGTCAACAAGTAACAGGGGCAGAGGATAGTCAACAAGTAACAGGGACAGAGGATAGTCAACAAGTAACAGGGGCAGATGATAACATTAGTCAACACAAACAAACATCAGACAGCTACACGTCAATCTAACCTCTATTTACACAGTGTGATTTCAATTGTCTCACAGCGGGTTACAGCCAATTGGTACATGGCTCACGGACTATAGCTTCCCGCAATACCTCTTGGAACAAGCCGATGCTAACAAGGCCATTAGACCAGCCACTCCGCGCTTCTATTAAGCATATTGTCAAGACCACAGCATTAGCTGTAACATAATTCAGCATTAGTTACACGTAAGTTAACTTCAATATGCCCAAGATGTATCTAAACAGCTTGGATTGACTTAAGCTGATCCTGGAAATACATATACATACATACATATGTATACGTCCTCAGAACCCGAAGAAGACTAATACTTAACTAGCCATATACATCAAGAAGGCTTCCCATAGACGGCTGAGAGAAGGGGGGGGGGGATGAAGGGGAATTAACATCAATAAACAATTAGTGATGTAATTGGCTCCATTTGTGCTCGTAAGTCTCCTTACACACACACACAACACACACACACACACACACACACACGCAATTACTTTGTTAGAACGTAAAAAAAAAGTTGTGGCTACATTAAGAATTTGTTGACAATTGCCTGAGTTAGTTGGGATGGGGTGAGCGCCCCCCCCCCCCCCTCCCTCAATTTGAACAAATTGTGTTGATGTACCAATACATCAACATCTCCGTTGATCCTCTGTTGATTAAACCCCCCCCCCCAACCCCCTCTTCCGAAACCTGTACATCTTTCTTCAACCATATGGCAGCTTTGTTTACAGTTATTAGACAAGTTGTGAGCTCCGTAACACCACGAGGCTCTTTATGACAATAACAACTATGGGTTGTGGAAATACCGTTGCTTGTAAACTGTTCAATAAATTTAATCATAGCCGCTATGATTAAGGGGAGATGTAGAGGTTTCGCAAGTGAATGAGTGGATGCTTGACACTTTCTTCCACCCCCAGACCACAGGGCAGTGACAGTAGTGGACACTATCTGTTACTCTTGGTGTGGTGTAGAGTTGAATTAAGGCTTATCAACAAGGAGGGGGAGATTATTATGCGTATCACAACAGCTTATTGGATCAACCAACAAGTATACTCTAGTCCTGAGCATAGTTAAGTATGTCCGTGTGTGTATATCCTCAGTGCTGGCGGTATATCTCTGCAGGTCGACTAAACTTGGCCCCCCCCCCCTATATGTTTAATAGCTCTCTCACTATACTTATTTTCAACTCTTTTGACCATGTTGTAGCTCAGTCGATTAAGGCAGCGTTTGGGATGATCTCTGACGTAGGTTCGAATGCTCGTCACGACCCTTGTGGATTAGCTCTCACACCCTGTCCATGGAGGACAGAAGAAAATGTATATATGCTGCTTAGCATTGTAAATATCTGGCCACGTCTGTGGTAGAAAAATAATATAAAAAAAATACTGTAAAACAATTCGACTATCGCGACTCTGGCGTCCTATTCTACTTTAGGTCCGCCAGGTAAGAGTATCGTCCTCCTTTAGTGAAGACAAACATTAAGACAGTTCGGTAGTTTTATGTGTACGGAAGAATAAGCAGATTGATTGGGAAAATTGGGATTGGTTGAGGCCTTTGTCACTTACCATGTTCACACACACTGTATTTGTCTAGTTATGCTCGTATAGCATGGATGTCAGCTCTTGGGCTCCACCTCTGAATCTCCAATTGAGTGGCGTTCAAGTTTTTGAGTTCTATATCATATCTTCATATGGAATTTATTGTCTAATAAAAATTTAGGATTGGGTTCATGGCATTTGAGCTCTTCAACATTGAAAATGTTATATAGAAATACCCTATGGCTCATTCGGGTACCTAGTTCGTTACCTGTGTCCCCTAGTTAGAGTACTACCCGTGCTGAATAGTCTGCTCTTTTAGTTCACTGAGTATAATGTATGAAGTGATTATGTCTCTCTTGTGCTCTCGTGGTCATCTCTACGACTACGGTCCTCACGGCCTTGGGGGGGGGGGGGGGGGGGGACCAACGTAGCCATCCTTGCCTAACTAACGAGGCCACTGGGCCAAGAGGGCTGTTTGTCTCTGGTATTGGCAGGCAGCCCCCCACGCCTCCTTGCCTGGGCTGTGCCTTGTGCTGTACTCCTCACTCCAGTACTCCTCGCTCCAGTACTCCTCGCTCCAGTACTCCTGGTTCCAGTACTCCTCGCTCCAGTACTCCTCGCTCCAGTACTCCTCGCTCCAGTACTCCTGGTTCCAGTACTCCTCGCTCCAGTACTCCTCGCTCCAGTACTCCTCGCTCCAGTACTCCTGGTTCCAGTACTCCTCGTTCCAGTACTCCTCGCTCCAGTACTCCTTGCTCCAGTACTCCTCGCTCCAGTACTCCTCGCTCCAGTACTCCTCGCCCGAGTACTCCTCGCTCCAGTACTCCTCGCTCCAGTACTCCTCGCTCCAGTACTCCTTGCTCCAGTACTCCTGGTTCCAGTACTCCTGGTTCCAGTACTCCTGGTTCCAGTACTCCTCGCTCCAGTACTCCTGGTTCCAGTACTCCTGGTTCCAGTACTCCTCGCTCCAGTATTCCTCGCTCCAGTACTCGCTCCAGTACTCCTGGTTCCAGTACTCCTCGCTCCAGTACTCCTCGCTCCAGTACTCCTCGCTCCAGTACTCCTCCCTCCAGTACTCCTCGCTCCAGTACTCCTCGCTCCAGTAATCCTGATTCCAGTACTCCTGGTTCCAGTACTCCTCGCTCCAGTACTCCTCGCTCCAGTACTCTTCGCTCCAGTACTCTTCGCTCCAGTACTCCTCGCTCCAGTACTCCTCGCTCCAGTACTCCTCGTTCCAGTACTCGCTCCAGTACTCCTCGCTCCAGTACTCCTCGCTCCAGTACTCCTCGCTCTAGTACTCCTGGTTCCAGTACTCCTGGTTCCAGTACTCCTGGTTCCAGTACTCCTCGCTCCAGTACTCCTCGCTCCAGTACTCCTGGTTCCAGTACTCCTGGTACCAGTACTCCTCGCTCCAGTACTCCTGGTTCCAGTACTCCTGGTACCAGTACTCCTCGCTCCAGTACTCCTGGTTCCAGTACTCCTGGTACCAGTACTCCTCGCTCCAGTACTCCTCTGTGTTCACTTTTGCTTTACAAGGTGCTAATAACGGTGGGTGTGCGACAAGATCCTGGGTTTGTTTAGACTCCTAAATACTAAAAACGTAAACATCGACGAGTGTGTGCGCGCGCGTATACGCACACACACAGAGGTGCGGGCGCGCGCACACACCCGCACAGGCACTTACACCAAACAATTTAGACAGTGTCTCCAGGAGGCGACGTATCAACTCGTGAGACGCTATTTAATGTTGTTAGTAAACAAGGTTGTTAGAGTGAAGTTGTTTAAAAAAATCAATACTTCTGGGATGTGAATGAGTGCCATGGTGCCTTACGGAGCGTTATAAACACGTGAGGGATAGTGGCACTGGTCTAGACGTGACAGTAGCACTGGTTTAGACGTAAGTGGCACTGGTCTAGACGTGATAGTGGCATTGGTCTAGACGTGACAGTGGCACTGGTTTGACGTGACAGTGACACTGGTTTAGACGTGACAGTGACACTGGTTTAGACGTGACAGTGGCACTGGTTTAGACGTGACAGTGGCACTGGTTTAGACGTGACAGTGGCACTGGTTTAGACGTGACAGTGGCACTGGTTTAGACGTGAGTGGCACTGGTCTAGACGTGACAGTGACACTGGTTTAGACGTGACAGTGACACTGGTTTAGACGTGACAGTGGCACTGGTTTAGACGTGAGTGGCACTGGTCTAGACGTGATAGTGGCATTGGTCTAGACGTGAGTGGCACTGGTCTGGACGTGACAGTGCCACTGGTCTAGACGTGAGTGGCACTGGTCTAGACGTGAGTGGCACTGGTCTAGACGTGAGTGGCACTGGTCTAGACATGAGTGGCACAGGTCTAGACGTGACAGTGCCACTGGTCTAGACGTGACAGTGCCACTGGTCTAGACATGAGTGCCACTGGTCTAGACATGAGTGGCACTGGTCTAGACGTGAGTGGCACTGGTCTAGACGTAAGCTGCAGGTTCACGCTGGCACTCACCCTAATTGCTGCCTGGTTTAACGTCAGTTGAAGCGATTAGTTACACTTGAATATTCTCCTCTGTTCTTAACGGACACAACTCATCCTTTTAACAGTATTACCTCACTTTTCAAGCATTGGGAGTATATATATATATATATATATATATATATATATATATATATATATATATATATATATATATATATATATATATCTTGTATAAATTATTACATATTGTTCCATAATGTTCCATAATATGTGTAAATGATAATTACACTTTGGGAAAATTCCCCCATACACTGAAGCATGTATATATGTTTCCTATGTATATGGTGTATATATCTATGTATACGGGTCTGTGTATGGTGGTCAGGAGGTATGAACAAGGAACATGAGTCACGTGTAGGGTAACTCAAGTTGATGTAAGTATCTTGTAACACTACAAACTCTTAAGTGTCATTGTTACGTGCCCAAGTCGTTCGCTCCAACCTGATCCTTGGGAGCGTTCAGCCATGGTTAATGGGGCATGGGTGGGAGATGCCCAGCCATGGTGATTAGGGCATGGGGGGGGGGGTGGATGATGCCCGGCCACGGTCAGGATATGGCGGGTACGTGTACAAGGTCAGCGGAATACGGGGATGCGTTCCAAGCGGCTCCTGACTTACCGGTGCACACACACGCACACACACACACACACACACACATACACACACACACACACACACACACACACACACACACACAGAAGGGTGGGCAGACTGCATATTTTTGGATTGTCAGAAAGCCTTTGATACAGTGCCACACAAGAGGCTAGTGCGAAAGTTGGAGATGCAGGCTGGAGTGAGAGGGAAGGTACTCCGGTGGATAGAGGAGTACCTAAGCAACAGGAGACAACGAGTCTGTGTGAGGGGTGAGGTCTCAGATTGGCGAGACGTCACAAGTGGAGTCCCGCAGGGGTCAGTCCTTGGACCTATACTGTTTCTGGTATATGTAAATGATCTCCCAGAGGGTATAGATTCGTTCCTCTCAATGTTTGCCGACGATGCAAAAATTATGAGGAGGATTGAAACAGAGGATGATAGTAGGAGGCTACAAGATGAACTGGATAGACTGAGTGAATGGTCCAACAAATGGCTGTTGAAGTTCAACCCGAGTAAATGCAAAGTAATGAAACTTGGCAGTGGAAACAGGAGGCCAGGCACAGGATACAGAATAGGAGATGAAGTACTTAATGAAACAGACAGAGAGAAAGATCTAGGAGTTGATATCACACCAAACCTGTCTCCTGAAGCCCACATAAAGAGAATAACGTCTGCGGCATATGCGAGGCTGGCTAACATCAGAACGGCGTTCAGGAACCTGTGTAAGGAACCATTCAGAATCTTGTACACCACATATGTAAGACCAATCCTGGAGTATGCGGCCCCAGCATGGAGCCCGTACCTTGTCAAGCACAAGACGAAGCTGGAAAAAGTCCAAAGGTATGCTACTAGACTAGTCCCAGAACTAAGAGACATGAGTTATGAGGAAAGGCTGCGGGAAATGCACCTTACGACACTGGAAGACAGAAGAGTAAGGGGGGACATGATCACAACCTACAAAATCCTCAGGGGAATCGACCGGGTAAACAAGGATGAACTATTCAACACTGGTGGGACGCGAACAAGGGGACACAGGTGGAAGCTGAGTACCCAAATGAGCCACAGAGACGTTAGAAAGAACTTTTTCAGTGTCAGAGTAGTTAGCAAATGGAATGCATTAGGAAGTGATGTGGTGGAGGCTGACTCCATACACAGTTTCAAATGTAGATATGATAGAGCCCAATAGGCTCAGGAATCTGTACACCAGTTGATTGACGGTTGAGAGGAGGGACCAAAGAGCCAGAGCTCAACCCCCGCAAGCACAATTAGGTGAGTACAATTAGGTGAGTACACACACACACACACACACACACACACACACACACACAAAGAGCTCAACCCCCGCAAACACAACTAGGTGAGTACACACACACACACACACACACTCACACACACACACTCACACACAAACACACACACACACACACCTGGTAGCTAAGAGGACAGCGCCCGGGACTCGTAATCCTAGGGACCGGGAGGTCGATCCCCGGCAATGACAGAAACAAATGGGCAGAGTTTCTTTCACCTTGATACCCCTGCTCACCTAGCAGTAAATAGGTCTCTGGGAATAACACAGCTGTTACGGGCTGCTTCCTGGGCGTGTGTGTGCAAAAAAAAATCAGTTGATTGAGAGGCGGGACAGTTGAGAGGCGGGACCAAAGAGCCAGAGCTCAACCCCCCGCAAGCACAACTAGGTGAGTACAGCGTTATTAACACGGCACCGTTGCCGAATCAACAACGGTGCTCGGGATTGCGGCCGCGTTGTTCAATTGAAACATTCCCAAAGGAATGGTCGGGAGTACAATGGAATGGATGATGGAAGAGGTACTTTTAACCCGGACGTGATGGATTGTGTGGAGCCCGAGTGTTTGCTCAGCTTTCACGGCGTCCTTGCAATCCTCTGCAACGCCAGTCACCTTTTGTACGCTTCTAGGAACTCTTGGGGGCGGGGAAAGGAGAGCTGGGCGGGGGGCTCTTTGCAATTAATTCAGAATCCCTATTTTATATTTCTGACTGGATAAACACTTTCATTAATGATAGAGGACAGGCAATTACGAGACACTCAAATTCACACGGGTAAACATCTATGTTAATTGACCAACGCTCGTTGGCGAACAAAGAAAATAGAAATTGCACTGAAAGCAGCCATATTGCAGGCGATGAGTCACAATAACGTGGCTAAAGTATGTTGACCAGACCACACACTACAAGGTGAAGCGACGACGACGTTTCGGTCCGTCCTGGACCATTCTGAAGTCGATTCGACTTCAGAGTGATCGACTTGAGAATCGACTTGAGAATGGTCCAGGACGGACCGAAACGTCGTCGTCCCTTCACCTTTTAGTGTGTGGTCTGGTCAACAAAGCAGACATGTCAGCTGCAACTGGTGCACAGCCAGTCTAGCAGCAAAGGTAAGACGGCAGTGCTCCAGAAAACTCCCACCAAACTTCTGCCATGATATTGGATTCCAGGAGTGATCAGGGGAAGAAGTTTGAAGCTCGAGAGACGAGGTGGAAGGTATGAAAAGGGGGGACAAATCCACCAGGGCCGTGACGAGGAATCGAACCTGCGTCCGAGAGCATCCCAGACGCTGTCTTAATCGCCTGAGCTACGACATGGTCAAAACGAGGAGTTGAAAGGAAGGGTGAGTTGTGGATTTGTTCACTTGATGCATCACGAAATTGAGATTTCTGTGTGTAATGAAAGGAGGACGTTTCTGGCAGCAGACGGCTTTGGAGGGGGGACTACGCTCTCCCTCAATGTCATCTGTGGGCGTCGACTCCCTCACTGTCAGCAAACACACCCGCTTTTGTGCCTCTAATTGAACTGTGTCTCAACTGGGGACTTCATCACGGCGTCTCTCACAACTTGTACCTCGAGTCAGTTGAAGTTGGAACGAAGTGATCCGGTAAGGGATCCCGTATGGACACGGACACCAGGGATCCCTACGTCGCTATTTTCATTAGTTATTTTCATCCTTAATGACTGTATGGTATACATACGTATGTATAGTGAGTCATCCTTGATATCATAATAGAGACGAGGGGAGAGAGAGAGAGAGAGAGAGAGAGAGAGAGAGAGAGAGAGAGAGAGAGAGAGAGAGAGAGAGAGAGAGAGAGAGAGAGAGAGAGAGAGAGAGAGAGACAGATAGAGACAGAGACAGAGAAAGAGAGAGACAGAGAGAGACAGAGAAAGAGAGAGACAGAGAAAGAGAGAGACAGAGAGTGACAGAGAGACAGAGACAGATCTATACAGTATTCCCGTACTCACCTGCGTTAAAATAAATAAATAAAAAACCACAACCTAGCCTAAATCTAAAAAAAAAAAATCGTAACCATTACAAAACGTCAACCCCGTCTCGGCTCCACATATAGGCCGACATTCCATAATATTTAATATAAAACCACCTTCCTTAGGTAATTAAAGGCGAGAGTAAAGTGCCACAATCCTATGGCAAAAAAAAGCCAAATCGTTGCCCCTGGCAACCAGCCAAGCTTCCGATAATGAAGCAATGTTTTGCGTCAAGTTCGGATAAGTTGGATATGCGAGGAATTCAATAACATGTCCCTTAATGAACAGCATCCGGCCGCCCTCACCCCAAACTCAAAGGCAACGCAATTTTTCATTATGAAAACTGAGTCGAGAGATCCGGTTACGGGAGTGTTGAAGCATGTGGGCCCTGGCGACGTTGACCAGCCCTCGCTCCTGCTAGATGTGGCACTATGCTAGATGTGGCACTAGTGCTAGATGTGGCACTAGTGCTAGATGTGGCACTAGTGCTAGATGTGGCACTAGTGCTAGATGTGGCACTAGTGCTAGATGTGGCACTAGTGCTAGATGTGGCACTAGTGTTAGATGTGGCACTAGTGCTAGATGTGGCACTAGTGCTAGATGTGGCACTATGCTAGATGTGGCACTAGTGCTAGATGTGGCACTAGTGCTAGATGTGGCACTAGTGCTAGATGTGGCACTAGTGTTAGATGTGGCACTAGTGCTAGATGTGGCACTAGTGCTAGATGTGGAACTATGCTAGATGTGGCACTAGTGCTAGATGTGGCACTAGTGCTAGATGTGGCACTAGTGCTACATGTGACACTAGTGCTAGATGTGGCACTAGTGCTAGATGTGGCACTAGTGCTAGATGTGGCACTAGTGCTAGATGTGGCACTAGTGCTAGATGTGGCACTAGTGCTAGATGTGGCACTATGCTAGACGTGGCACTAGTGCTAGATGTGGCACTAGTGCTAGATGTGGCACTAGTGCTAGATGTGGCACCAGTGCTAGATGTGGCACTAGTGCTAGATGTGGCACCAGCGCTAGACGTGGCACCAGTGCTAGATGTGGCACCAGTGCTAGATGTGGCACCAGTGCTAGATGTGGCACCAGTGCTAGACGTGGCACTAGTGCTAGATGTGGCACTAGTGCTAGATGTGGCACCAGCGCTAGACGTGGCACCAGTGCTAGACGTGGCACCAGTGCTAGATGTGGCACCAGCGCTAGTCGTGGCACCAGGGCTAGACGTGGCACCAGTGCTAGACGTGGCACCAGTGCTAGATGTGGCACCAGCGCTAGACGTGGCACCAGTGCTAGACGTGGCACCAGTGCTAGACGTGGCACCAGTGCTAGATGTGGCACCAGCGCTAGACGTGGCACCAGTGCTAGATGTGGCACCAGCGCTAGACGTGGCACCAGTGCTAGACGTGGCACCAGTGCTAGATGTGGCACCAGCGCTAGACGTGGCACCAGTGCTAGGCGTGGCACCAGTGCTAGACGTGGCACCAGCGCTAGACGTGGCACCAGTGCTAGACGTGGCACCAGTGCTAGACGTGGCACCAGTGCTAGACGTGGCACCAGTGCTAGACGTGGCACCAGTGCTAGATGTGGCACCAGCGCTAGTCGTGGCACCAGAGCTAGACGTGGCACCAGTGCTAGACGTGGCACCAGTGCTAGATGTGGCACCAGCGCTAGACGTGGCACCAGTGCTAGACGTGGCACCAGTGCTAGATGTGGCACCAGCGCTAGACGTGGCACCAGTGCTAGACGTGGCACCAGTGCTAGATGTGGCATCAGCGCTAGTCGTGGCACCAGAGCTAGACGTGGCACCAGTGCTAGACGTGGCACC